CCAGGTTTGAACAGCTAATGAAAATATGCACGTGTACTTTCATTCACGACCAAATGTTCCAGCCTGTAAATAACTAATTTGTTCAATTTATAACCTGCCTGTTACACGCTTACGACTCTGGAACTGTAAAGCCGTAATGTGAAACACCTGCTGGATTCAGGCGTTTCGGCGCAGCGGAGATCGTCTGGGTTTCTTGTTTTCCCTGTGAAACGTAAGAAATGCCCGAGGATCATTTCTCTCACCAGGATCGCTTTGGCGTCTTCTCTGGCGTTGTTGCTTCTCAGGTTTGTGGATTTTGGAGGGTGCCGGGCCAGGGTCTTCTGTATGCACCGCTTGTCCTGTGGACTGCACCGGATATTGCTGTTGTTCGGGTGTTCGGGAGTCATCTCTTCCTGCCTGTCCATAGCTAAACAACAAGAAGGAAAACTTTAGATCTTCAAATTCAAACAAGCGTTTTAAAAAAAAAAATGCTATTCACAGCAGGTTTATAAAACACTTTTCTAGAAGTCTTCTTATTTACTGGTAGTTCCTTTATGGGGGCATGAACCTAACTGTACAGAAGGAGCTCCAGAAAGTTAAATCGTGCGTTCCTTGACGACTTCAAATACCTTATTTTGTCTTACCAACAGTCCAAAATGTATTTTAGTGAAAGTTTACTTCAGGAATGGCAGTGAAAGCTAATAATTTCTCATTTAAATGACAAAAGTGTGAAGTGAAGCATCTGTAACTGTTCTGTTCTAATAGTCCTCCTCGTTCTTCAACAGCCAACAGTGTGGTGAATGTAGGCTAAAAACGGGGCCAGGTTAACTACAAGGACACGCAGCCTTGTTCCTGCCTGTTTGTATGAAGGGAGGGGGGGTCTGTGCCACCTTTGCATCTCCATCATCCTGCAGTATGAGCCCAGCAGGCAACCAGCTGCTTCCTGAGGAAATGCCCCCCTGCCTCGTCATTCTCCACCTCTCCACAACAACCGCAGTCCGCACCAGATGGAGGTTGTTTGAGAGTATTTGCACTGTCACAAGCTTTCGGGGGCACGAGAAGGGCGAAGTAAAGAATAAAATGTTAAAGTCTCGGTTCTCATGCATCTTGCCTTTCACCTGTGGCGTTTAAGGCTTGGCAGCGCTTTGGACTTTGCGCTCATAATCCATGGCTTTCTTACAAATTGGCACTGGAATCAAAGGACTTCAAAGTGTAGTTTTACAATTTTTAAACTGGTCTCTCTCTGATCGCTGAACCAGATCTGAGCTCTGGTTAATATCACTGATCGCTGGCAGGCATCCAGCTATCTGCTCCTGGCATAGACAGTGAAACTGTCTTAATCTTGTGCAACATGCAGCCTTTTCTCAGGTGCATAAAGGCTCAAATACAGAAACCAGACTCTTAAACATGTCCTGGAATGCCCCTTTAAGGATCCCGGGCCACTTCCTGGGGATGATTAGAGGCTTTTACAACTCGATCGGTGACCGTGTTTCTCTAAACCTCACGAAAGGTCATGTTGCTTTGTTTGTCTGGGGTGGAAGTATATCTCAGCTGTTTATATTTTTAGTCTCTTTGCTGTTAAACCTTGCTCGTCAGCACTTTCTTCCACAAGAGCCATCGGGGTTTCATCTGTTTCCTAGTTGTTCTTTCTCCTCTTTTGCCGGTTCAGACTTTTTCCGACTCCACGTAGAGCGAGCCAAAGTGGGTCAGGGGTGGCATGTCCTGTTTGCTACCACTTCTGTTTTTCCATGGAGGAAGTCGCCACTTCTCTGTGTGGTTTCATCTGATTTGGATCGCCAGCTCTTGGCATCTAAATATCATTCCTTCAGGGCATTGTCAGGCCCGCACTGACACATTTGCGGCGCATTGTTAGTCACAGGTGCACAGCAGAGATAAAGGAAGTTCTGGAGTGAGCAGACAATCACACTCAGAGGGACCAGGTACATTTTAATTAACCAAAGCTGTCTGTTAATCAGCAGATTTAGGTCATCGTCAACTAGTCATTGTGATAAGTTAGCAGAACGATAACGCAGACTCGGAGTATTTACCAGACAAACTCAAAAGCTCTCACACAATAAACTGCATTGCTTAGCTTTTACATAAATATTTGTCTTCGCGTTGCTGCCAACGTCTTCGTCATAGTGAGCGTGACGTGCCGAGGGGCATCATTCACCGCTAGAAAAGAAAAACCCCACTTTACACAAGTTCGTCTCAGTACGTTATTTAATCCACATCATAACAAGTCCAGGCCACATGTGTCTGTTTATATATTCGCCTTCTCTCTGCAGACTGTAGAACGGTGACACGAAGGGGTCATCGGATTACAGATTCCACTGTTAGTGGCTTTTAAGGCTGAGGCTGTGAAGCCCGAAGACAAATGTTCTCCCCAAATAAATATTTGGTTATGCTCAGAGTGCTTCCCACTCGTTTATACTTCTCCTAACTTGGATCTCAGATTGAAGATCGTCCATTACGAGACATTTGTACAAAAACACGACATGCAGCCTTTTTGCAGATTATTCATTCGTGCTCTACTGGGTACAGATGCTGTGAGGCTAGAAAGGTTTGAAAAGCTGAAAACATCACTTTTCTGAAAGCGCATGGAGATCACTTTGAAGGACAGCATCACAAATGAGATGTTTTGGTGGACACACCCTGAAGAGGAGCAGCTATAAAATGTATTTGCTACTTATAGAGTGCCACACGGTTGCTGCTCTTTTGTAGGCCAACCCAGAGGTTCACATTGTGCTGGTGGCTCAAACAAAAAGCCAATGGGCTTATTGGATTATTGCAAAAAAAAAATAAGCTCTTGGAACAAACATTGTGTCCAAACTTTTGACTGGATCCGTACTCGGACAATATATTTTTCAACCGTGTGAAATTAATCACAGAAATGCTTAAGTTAGCCATAAATGATCTACATCACTCTCTATATTGAATGGTACAGAAACACCATTGACATGTTAGCTGCTCTCATGATTCTAGTAACGTATTTAACAATGCTCTTAAATGCATCTGTCCATTTCTCACACTTTTCTGACAAGTCTGGTTAATGGGAGTCTAAGCAGACATGCACAAACCATCCTCTTCCCAAACAGCTCTTGCAGGCTTGCGGGTGTCGTACTGAGGCATTCCCAAGCCAGCTGAGAGACATCAGCTTTCCAACATGTTCTGGGTCGGCCCCAGGACCTCCTCCCAGTTGGACGTGCCCAAACCAAATCACCTAAGAGTCATCCAGGAGGCACACGAACCTGCTCAACTGGCTTCTTCTGATCCAGAAAAGCAGTGATCCCCTCCTGAATGACCTTTTAAAAAGCTAAAGTTCTTCTCTTCTGTTGAGTTACAGCGAGAGCCACAGCTCATCAGCCTCTGGCCTTTCCTGTTCTGACACATTAGGTTTTATTTATGTCCAAACATTGAGGATTAGTTTGACTTGAACATAAAACTTAAAATGACACCTGATAGATTAGCTTGTATTGCGCTGACAACAGCTAATGTCTTTTGAAACAGATGGTCTTCGGGGAGTCTTCTTTTCCCAAATGTTTAGTGACACTTTTATGTGCTTTCCCCCCCTTCCCTGCAAGCGGTTCTGGCAGCAAACTGAACTCATCTAGGCTTACTACCAACAGACTGCTCTTTTTGGTCAACACTGGACACTGCCAGAGTATCAGTATCAGACGCTCGGTTTCCAGGCAGAAGATTTCTTTGAATCTGTTAATCATCAGCTCGAATCTAACACAGCACCAGGAACAGTGTTCAGGGCTGCTGTCAGGGCCAATGAAAATGTTGGACCGTGCTATAGGGTAATTTGTCAAAGGAAAGGTTGAAAGAAAGTTAAATCAACACTTAAATCACAAAAGCAGGAACCTGCTGCTACTGCACGGCCTGCTGCTGCTCAGCGGATGTCGAAACAGACATCCCAGTCTCTGGAAACCAATTAGGAGCAATAAATCTGTAAAATTAAAAATGCCTGCTTGATTATATACTGGCTGCTCTTTAGGAGCTAGCAGAAAAAAGTGCATAATTAGAAACAGAACTCATTTACAGGTTCAAAGCAGCTTTTCATGATTCAAAATCTTATACTTATGCAGCCCTCAGTTCATCTTCTGGCTCAAACACACTGATTGGGCTCCTAATGGCAGATGTCTTGATCGGTTGACCCTCACAGACAACAGATTTGAACAGCAGGGCGTGAAGCTTCTGTTCTCACAGCCAGAGGTTTGCGTCTGAGATTACCTTGTAAGGATATCCCCTCTCACTGACGGCAAACCGATCCGAGGAAAAACTGTCTGCAACTGAGCGTTTAGAGCAGTATGAAGCCTGAGCTTTGACCCACATGGTTTGCGTTTACACACGCTGACCTCATTATTTGAAACTTTAACCGTGTTTAGTGTGAGAATCCTCCGTTATAACAATATAGACATGACAGAAAACAAGAAAAAGCATAATAGGTCCCCTTTAGCCCAATACTCCATTCTACAGCCTAAACCTCTTATAAGCCAGATGTAACACACACACACACACAAAGGTGTGGATCAGAGAGAAAAACACGAGTAAAGGATAGGGCTGAACCTTTTCCAGATGGATCATCATCAGGATAAACATTATCCTTGAACCTGTGTCAAACTTTTGGATCAAAGCATTGTTCGGCGATGAAAATGAAGCTTGTTTTTCAGAAACAAGGGGCTCACTGCCCCCTCTGAGTTTCTCGTGTTTTCAGGAAGGAATTCTGTTTTTAATCGAGATGAAGACAGAACCTGAATCTGAATTCGTGTCTGTTATATAAACTCAGCCGATGTGGATCTGTCAGTAAGATATCTCTGCAGCCGGACTGCGTTGCTGTTTGTGTTGCAGATTCATTTGCTTACAGATTTGTGAGTAAATTCTGTCACAGAGAGCAGTAATCCTTGCTGAGTTTATGCATTAATGGTGCTTTGTGGTGAATAGAGGGAACCCTGCATCTACAGTCAGTGTTGGGAAGGTTACTTTTAAAATGTATTCCATTACAGATTACAG